TGGATAGGTACAAGGTTTAAATATATACACAAAAACACACACACATATCTATACAAATATATATATATATATATATATATATATATATATATATATATATATATATATATTATATATATATATATATATGTATGTATGTATTTATATATATATAAACACATATTTATGCGTATATATGTATATATGTGTGTTTGTGTGTGTGTGTGTGTTGTGTGTAAACAGAGGCACACACAAAGACAGAAACAACAAAGCAACAAACAAAGACAGGAACTCGTCCCGGTTATGAAAAGGAGACTTCAGTGATCTTTTTTAGAAGAACTGCCTGTCATAATTGACAATTGCGCACAAAGGCTATTATGCGCTTTCCTGTCACGACCAAACTTTCTGTTATTAGCTCTTTCTTTACACCAAGACCTCGTCCGCATCACTGAACATTCAGCCACGGTACTTGTCACTCGTCCGTGTCATTCGCTTGTCATCCATGTCAGTTGTCACTCCATGTCATTCGCTTTTCGTCCATGTCAGTTGTCATCGTCATTTCATTCGCTTCGTCCATGTCAGTTGTCACTCGTCATGTCATTCGCTTTTCATCCATGTCAGTTGTCACTCGTCCATGTCATTCGCTTTTCATCCATGTCAGTTGTCACGTCCATTTCATTCGCTTTTCATCCATGTCAGTTGTCACTCGTCCATGTCATTCGCTTTCGTCCATGTCAGTTGTCACTCGTCCATTTCATTCGGTTTTCATCCATGTCAGTTGTCATCGTCCATGTCATTCGCTTTTCGTCCATGTCAGTTGCCACCGTCCATGTCATTCGCTTTTCATCCATGTCAGTTGTCACGTCCATTTCATTCGCTTGTCATATATGTCAGTTGTCACGTCCATTTCATTCGCTTTTCATCCATGTCAGTTGTCACTCGTCCATGTCATTCGCTTTTCATCCATGTCAGTTGTCACTCGTCCATTTCATTCGCTTTTCATCCATGTCAGTTGTCACGTCCATGTCATTCGCTTTTCATCCATGTCAGTTGTCACTCGTCCATTTCATTCGCTTTTCATCCATGTCAGCTGTCACTCGTCCATGTCATTCGCTTGCCATCCATGTCATTGTCACGTCCATGTCATTCGCTTTTCATCCATGTCAGTTGTCACGTCCATTTCATTCGCTTGTCATCCATGTCAGTTGTCACTCGTCATTTCATTCGCTTTTCATTCATGTCAGCTGTCACGTCCATGTCATTCGCTTTTCATCCATGTCAGTTGTCACTCGTCCATGTCATTCGCTTTTCGTCCATGTCAGTTGTCCATGTCATGTCACTCGTCCGTGTCATCCATGTCAGTTGTCACTCGTCCATGTCATTCGCTTGTCATCTATGTCAGTTGTCACTCCATGTCATTTCGCTTTTCATCATGTCAGTTGTCACGTCCATTTCATTCGCTTTTCATCCATGTCAGTTGTCACGTCTATGTCATTCGCTTTTCGTCCATGTCAGTTGTCACTCGTCCATGTCATTCGCTTTTTCGTCCATGTCAGTTGTCACTCGTCCATTTAATTCGCTTTTTCATCCATGTCAGTTGTCACTCGTCCATGTCATTCGCTTTCATTCATGTCAGTTGTCTCGTCCATTTCATTCGCTTTCATCCATGTCAGTTGTCACTCGTCCATTTCATTTGCTTTTTCATCCATGTCAGTGTCACTCGTCCATGTCATTCGCTTTTCATTCATGTCAGTTGTCACGTCCATGTTCATTCGCTTTTTCATCCATGTCAGTTTGTCACTCGTCCATTTTCATTCGCTTTTCGTCCATGTCAGCTGTCACTCGTCCATGTCATTCGCTTGCCATCCATGTCAGTTGTCACGTCCATGTCATTCGCTTTTCATCCATGTCATTGTCACGTCCATTTCATTCGCTTGTCATCCATGTCAGTTGTCACTCGTCCATTTCATTCGCTTTTCATTCATGTCAGCTGTCACGTCCATGTCATTCGTTTTTCATCCATGTCAGTTGTCACTCGTCCATGTCATTCGCTTTTCGTCCATGTCAGTTTGTCACGTCTATGTCATTCGCTTTTCGTCCATGTCAGCTGTCACTCGTCCATGTCATTCGCTTGTCATCCATGTCAGTTGTCACTCGTCCATGTCATTCGCTTGTCATAATGTCAGTTGTCACTCGTCCATGTCATTCGCTTTTCATCCATGTCAGTTGTCACGTCCATTTCATTCGCTTGTCAGTTGTCACGTCTATGTCATTCGCTTTTCGTCCATGTCAGTTGTCACTCGTCCATGTCATTCGCTTTCGTCCATGTCAGTTGTCACTCGTCCATTTCATTCGCTTTTCATCCATGTCAGTTGTCACTCGTCCATGTCATTCGCTTTTCATCCATGTCAGTTGTCACTCGTCCATTTCATTCGCTTGTCATCCATGTCAGTTGTCACTCGTCCATTTCATTCGCTTTTCATCCATGTCAGTTGTCACTCGTCCATGTCATTCGCTTTTCATCCATGTCAGTTGTCACGTCCATGTCATTCGCTTTTCATCCATGTCAGTTGTCACTCGTCCATTTCATTCGCTTTTCATCCATGTCAGTTGTCACTCGTCCATATTGCTCTGTCACTAACTCATGTCACTTATCGCCATGTGTCATTCACTCACATCGCATGTAATTCATTCCCCTCGTCTGTCACTTTGTCACTTTCCACATCACTTTTCATTCATTGCATCAGAATTCTACGTCACTCGCCTCTTACTTTCATCACTTTTCACTTATTACATCATTTGACACTTGCCACTTTTTTCCCATTTTCTTTTTTCACTTATTACATCATTGGACACTCTTGCCACTTTTTTCCCATTTTCTTTTTTCACTTATTACATCATTGGACACTCTTGCCACTTTTTTCCATTTTCTGTTTTCACTTATTAAATCATTTGTCACTCTTCTCTTTCACTTTTTTTTTTTTTATCCATTTTCATCTTTTCATTAATCACTTTCCCACGTCACTCTTCCCTCACCTCCGGCACTTTTTCACTCATTTCACCACTTACCACGCTACGTTTCACTCATCCACGTCACTTTTCACTCATTACACCACTTACTCACGCTACGTTTCACTCATCCACGTCATTTCACTCATTACACCACTTACGCTACGTTTCACTCATCCACGTCACTTTTCACTCATTACACCACTTACTCACGCTACGTTTCACTCATCCACGTCACTTTTCACTCATTACACCACTTACTCACGCTACGTTTCACTCATCCACGTCATTTCACTCATTACACCAGGTTCCCACGTCCTCTTTCCTCATCCACACGTCACTTTTCACTCATTTCAACCACTTACCCACGTTACGTTTCACTCACCCTCGTCACTTTTCACTCATTACACCACTTACTCACGCTACGTTTCACTCATCCACGTCATTTCACTCATTACACCAGGTTCCCACGTCACTCTTCCCTCATCCACGTCACTTTTCACTCATTTCACCACTTACTCACGCTACGTTTCACTCATCCACGTCACTTTTCACTCATTACACCACTTACTCACGCTACGTTTCACTCACCACGTCATTTCACTCATTACACCAGGTTCCCACGTTACGTGTCACTCATCCACGTCACTTTTCACTCATTACACCAGGTTCCCACGTCACTCTTCCCTCACCCTCGTCACTTTTCACTCATTGCACCACTTACCCACGTTACGTTTCACTCATCCACGTCACTTTTCACTCATTACACCACTTACTCACGCTACGTTTCACTCATCCACGTCACTTTTCACTCATTTCACCACTTACTCACGTCACTCTTCCCTCACCCTCGTCTCACTCATCCACGTCACTTTTCACTCATTTCACCACTCACGTTACGGTTCACTCATCCACGTCACTTTTCACTTATTGCACCACTTACCCACGTTACGTTTCACTCATCCACTTCACTTTTCATACTCATTCACTCTTCCCTCACCCTCGTCTCTTTTCACTCATTGCACCACTTACCCACGCCACTCTTCACTCACCTCCGTCATTTCACTCATTACACCAGGTTCCCACTCTTCACTCACCTCCGTCCCTTGAAGCTCGGAGCAGAGAAGCCGGAAAGATACGGCAGGAAACAACAACAAAGGATGGCGCGGATCAGCTCGTCCCTCGAAGGGTATCGGCTCACCACCTGCAACAGCCAGGACGTTATTTCTCGGACAGTCCAGCGTCTGTTTCTTCAGGACGCAGGAAGGTGGGTGCGTTTTTTTCTTCTAAATAATTCATTAAAGAATTTGATTTTGGAAGGTGGGTGCGTTTTTTTCTACTAAATAAATCAATTAAAGAATCTGATTTTTTATATTTTGTTTTTATATTTAATATTAATTTTCATTGTTCGTATTTCTAAATAACTTTCCATAAAGTGCCAATGGATACATAGAAGTTTCTTGACCACAGATTTCATTAATAGATTTCATGACATTCTACACAAAACTGGCAAAACGCTGCTTATTCACAAGAACATACAGTCCTACGACTATAAGCGACCGGACGAGGTCACTGACCTCACTGGCAAAGGTCGAGACGCTGGTGAGGGAGAGGAAGACGCGACCAGAGGCCCGGATGTGCGCGTCCGCCGGCAGAACCTCGAGCAGGGCGTTCATAAGGGGCTCCTCCAGCCGGTAGTTCGGGTTGAGAGGCCCTAGGAACGTCTTCCTTATTCTCTTCACTTCGGTGATCAGGATGCGTCGGATGTGCTAGGGGGTGGAAGGAAAATATATTGTGTTAAGACCGTGAAAGGTTCTCTCTCTCTCTCTCTCTCTCTCTCTCTCTCTCTCTCTCTCTTCTCTCTCTCTCTCTCTCTCTCTCTCTCTCCTCTCTCTCTCTCTCTCTCTCTCTCTCTCTCTCTCTCTCTCTCTCTCTCTCTCTCTCTCTCTCTCTCTCCCTCTCTCTCTCTCTTCTCTCTCTCTCTTCTCTCTCTCTCTCTCTCTCTCTCTCTC